ACATGCAAACTCCAACTGACCCAGCGACCTTCTTACTGTGAGGCGAACGTGCTACCCACTGCGCCACTGTAGTGCCCCCATAACTCTGTGGTTGGTTGTTTTGAAAAATATAAAACAGTTTCAATATAATGTTCACATTTACTTTTTCTGTAAATTTATGTTTTGAGATTTTACTGCAAATGTCACATACGTAACGCTGCAATTGCTCATATAATGGAATTAATAATGGATTTAATAAATGTTGAACTATGAATAATAAATGCAAAAGTATTGTTCACAATTACTAACTAGTGAAACCTTACTGTAAAGTGTAACTGTTATTATTTAGTAAAAAACAAAGTAAAGAAACATAATTTATTTTTTTATGTTTTTAAAGCCTTTTAAAGACAAAGTTAATGACTAAGTTGTGCTTAAGTTCAGATTATCTGAACTAAGTTCCACTCTATTTATTATAACATATCACATATTTATACATATCAACAATATATACTGTATATGCGACCGATGTGACTTTTTTTATTCTGAGAATCCAAATTACTATATATATATATATATATATATAAAGTATATATATATATATATATATATATATATATATATATATATATATATAAAGTATATATATATATATATATATATATATATATATATATATATATATATATTGATCTGGATATTATTTATTACTTTTTTGTAATCTGAACTCTCAGATTAAAAAGCTAAATAAACACAATTATTTAAATGATATACTCTACTATTTAGGGCTAGGCGATTTGGCCTAAAATTTAAATCTCGTTTAATTGAAAAGTTTAACTTGATTACAATTAATGAACGATTATTTAAATTACAATTTTTTTTGGGCCTCGTAGTTCACGGACAAGTTAAGTAAATATTTTCACATGTTACAAGTGAGAATGAATGAAGAGTGCATTACATAATTTTAAGTTAATTGAAGGAAACAAACACTTTCTATGATTATACATTGAACATCCTTAACAATTCCTAGCAAAGATATTTGCTTGCTCATATTACATGAATGCGCTCTTAAATTGTAATAATGCACTTGCGACATTTGTCAGTGAAAAAACGCCATAGAGATGAGATCTGGCTGCAAAGTGCTGAACAATTTTCAGTTTAGCGGGGTCACGTGACTCAGTAGAGAATATAAATTTTTTTATCAATTTTAGGTTGTGAATGTCGATTTCCATCACTTTAGGATTAATCACCCAGTACTAGTGCCATACAAAACATATATAAGGCACAAATACCTCTTCCAATATATTTAAAACAGATCCAAAAAGCTGTTTAAATGTAAAATATATGATGATCATACATTTAATTTCAAATTATTAATGAAATGACTAAATTTACTAATAACAATACTTTTAAATACCTTTAAAGTTTAAGATTTAGTATTTTAAATAATATTCAACAGTCAATCAAGGTAATTAAAACAATAACATTTTTACCAAAAGCTTTTCAAAGAACAACAATGACAAAGTCATCCTAAAGCGCATATCATTTAAACTAAATAACACACTATTTACAACCAAACTATTGTCTAAACTAATAAAATACGTGCCTACAGAAAAGTAAAAATAGAAGTATTTACATCCGGACTTCCCAGCATAAAAAGCCGCACATGCAAAGCCCAAACACACCTTCACAACTAGTCTATTATGCCGCTTAGCTTTGTGGTTTCTCTGGTACAGGCTGGGAATATTCGGGGGTTTCGGGAAGCCCTGCATTCCTGCTGTCTCTCATCTCAGTGAACCAGTGGGGTGATGATGTATGTCAAGGTGTAACACGACTCCTGCATGAAAGAGCTACAGACACAATAACGCTCCTGCCTATACTGTAGCTCCTGAGTGAGCATGCTGGTTATTCAAGCTCACTTACAGTACGCGAAGTAAACCATGTGTGAACTTCTCCATGCATGGCAACTAATCTCCTATGCATAAGAGAGTAATGTGTATCATTTATTAAAGAGCATGTTCGTTTAAAATCCACATCCCTGCATGCGTGGGACGTCAAAGACAAATATTTTGACACAAAATTGCTTTACATTCAGGTTATTAATTATTTTGAGGTGTTATATATCATGTTATCTAAATCTCCTGCCTATTAGTCTATATTATGCATCGCTCGCTGATATCACATTATCTCCACTGCTGCAACATTGCACAATGATTTCATAATCGCACACTGACCGTTGGAATTTGAGAGGCTCTGATCTTTTCAGAAAACTAAAAGATAATTTTTCATTTCATAAAATCATATAGATATTGCTTTAAATATATTTTACAAACTAAAAAACGTTGTGTCGTTCTAAACTCACTTGATTTTATTTATTTATTTTTTTATATTCACTTAATATCGAGACATGTTCGAACAGAAGTGATTGAGGACGCTTGCTGTCAAATTTCAAAATGACAAAGAAAGCACCATAAAAAAAGGACATTTCTGCAGTATAACAAGATTTCTGAAACTCTTTAATATTAGAGTTAGTTTATCCATACAGAAGGATTTAATGTCATTACTGACATCCTTCCAAGCTGTCATTGCAGCTTTCATTAGTTTTTTGAGAAAATTAGCAATCAGGGTGTGAATTACAGGGGTGTTTGGTGGGATTGACCCTCCTATTTAATGCTTGATCCTCCTGAAAAACGCCAGAATTATTAAACCCCTGAATTATTAGCCCCCCTGTTTATTTTTACCCCATTTTCTGTGTAACGGAGAGAAGATTTTAACACATTTCTAAACATAATAGTTTTAATAACTTATTTCTAATAACTGATTTATTTTATCTTTGCCTTGATGACAGTAAATAATATTTTACTAGATGTTTTTCAAGACACTTCTATACAGCTTAAAGTGACATTTAAAGGCTAAACTAGGTTAATTAGGTTAACAAGGCAGGTTAGGGTAATTAGGCAAGTTATTGTATAAGTATGGTTTGTTCTGTAGACTATCGGAAAAAAAAATAGCTTAAAAAGCTAATAATTTTGACCTTAAATGTTTTTTTTTTATTAAAAACTGTTTTTATTTTAGCCAAAATAAAGCAAATAACACTCCTGAAGAAAAATTATTATCAGACATACTGTGAAAATTCCCTTGCTCTGTTAAACATCATTTGGGAAATATTTAAAAAAATAAGAAAAGGGGGGTTTAATAATTCTGATTTTAACATGTATGGGGAGTCAGCCCTCTAAATAGTAAGAAGTGGTTTGCTCCGACCTGTATCTTAAATACTAATATTACTAAATAAAATAACAGATAATATAAATGTACATTTGACCACTCCTATAATGGGTTACACCATTGTGAATTCATAATCAGTCTACATCAATGGACATTAGTAAATCACGATATGTAAAAAGTGTTTGTTTCTACATATAGCGTAAAAGTAAAGTAAAATTAGATGCATTGTTTGACCTACAGGAACCTCTGAAATAGCTAGAAATAGCTAATTACAGTATATTGTAGGTCAGAATACACAAAAATATTCCACAAAACACTGACAACTTAAATATGTTTTATTAATAAAACAGATGTCATACATACATTTATTTAAATCGCTGAAGGATGTAATAGACAAAATAACATTACTGAAAAAGTTGACCCCCCTGATCGTCAATGTATAATTTGCACCCCGGTAGCATTGATCCAGTTTGCAAAACTAGACAGCGTTTTAATGATCCAGTTGCTATACAACTTCAGTCTGTTTAAAGTATTTGAAAACAGCATGTGTGTGTGTGTGTGTTTTAGGAAATCTTAATAGTGCTTATCTGGGTATTGGCAGCCTTTCATCACATTCATTGTTTTACTGATAACAACCTGCAGAAGACTGTTTCCAAAATTCAGCTTTTGTGCTACACAAACACATGCAGGATTAGAAATTCTAACAAATATTTCCTTTTTGGTGAACTATTCCTTTAATATGATGGGCTAACATCATATGGAAACCACACCTACATTTAGCCTCAGACGCGGATAAAAAAAAAGAAGAAAAAAAGATTTTTGAAGTTGGAGTTTGTTCCTCTAACACGAAGATATTTTATTATAAAACACATATCAGATATCATAGATGGATCTGAGATGAAGTCGTCTCGCTCTGCAGTGTTGTCACTTCATTCAGTAAACTTCTCGACTCCACAAAAAATAAAAACGCCAAAGTTTGTCCAAGTTCACTTCACTCAAGCGAGGCTCTCTCATACACAAACTGGTCTCGCAGCACTATTTAAGACCAAATTGCAAAGAAAGCTGATGAAATGTATGATTTCAGCGAGTAAAAAGTAGCCCGTGTGTGAAAAAAATCGCTCTAAATCGAACCGCAAGGTTATTATTATTTTTTCGTTCAGTAGCACTGGGAAGAAATCTGAATGATGAATTCCAACACACGTCCGACGCTTTAAAGGCAAACAAATGCACATTTCATCCGCTGAATGTTTCACTGACGCGCGATGCAGTTGCTTTGCGATTATATACACGAAAATCCTCCACACACACACATTCACTCTGCATTTCTCTCAATTTCAGTCTGAAAAGTGATCTAAATGATGCGCTTGAATCCAACATGAGCGCGCACAACATCGCATAAGCTTACAGCACGACACTATCGAAGTGTCAAATGATAGCTCATATCAATAATATAACTAGGAGTAAGCGCGAGACTGAATGAGGTGTCACTGTCCGAGCGCGTGCCAGCGCGGTTGCACGCCCAACTTTTGTGTTTACCTTTAGTTTGATTTACAAACTAATACCCTGATTCACACCGTGCACTTGACCGCTGTGCATTATCGATTATCCTTCCATTAGTTTCCATTCTCCACGAACGCACTCGTCTAATACATCAGTCGATAAAGTGAGCGAACTAAAGCGATATTTATTATTATTAGCCTGCATGTTTCTCCCCTCATGCTAAACTCCAACTCGTTCGCATACCAAACAAACTGTAGAGAAAGAACAAATATCATTCAGTAGTCTGGGGGTAAACTTACCCAATGACAAGAAAGGTTTGGTTTCCATGTCTGGTGGGTTAGCTCATGCCAGCTGAGGCGCGAGCGGGTTAAGAGCTGTCGGCGTCTCTCTCTGATGACACTGCAAGACGGATCCACGCGGTAAAAGTCAAAAGCTCTGCGATAGTGTCAAATGTTCACTTTATGGCACTACTTCTGTTTGTTCACGCTTCTGCTCGGCTCTGTCTACAACTCTCCAATCCACACTACTGCAAAGGGACCCGGTGAAGGGGACTCCCACTGACGCTCACGCGGGCACATTTAGCATCGACGCGTGAGGGGAGCGTTAACCCCTCCTGCGCCGCTACATATACTGAGGGAGCGTGAAAGTAAAAAAGAAATGCAATGTTCATTTGAAGAAAGAGCACCACGTGCTGATGTGGTTAAACAAAGAGAGTTCAAAGTGACCATGTTTCCACTAATGAATTACCAATCAGTCATTAAAAAAACAAAAAAAGGGTAGACAAAAAAAAGGTAGAATTACCCCACTCCTACACCTAACTTTAACCCTAACAGGAAACTGTGCAGTTTTACTTTCTGAAAAACACACAATCTGTAAGATTAAGGAGCCTTTTTAAAAAATAGAGACATCAGCAATGTCCTCATAATTCACCTAACCCTTGTAATACCTGTCATTTCCATGTTATTATCATACACATTGTGTACTGACTGATGTCTTATAAAACATGCAGACACAGACGTCAATAAAGTGAACAATAAAAGAGTAAACTATTTATTACTGAGAAAAAAGCTATTATAGATATTGGTATAAACAGTAAAGTGTATATTATAATGCATTTGTATAGATTTAATATAGAGTACATAAAAGCAGCATGGTAAAATTGTATCTATTTAATTATGTACACAAATATGTGAATATATATTTTAATATAGTTTTAATATATTTAACAATGTTAATATATTTTCTGTATTTTAGGGGCATGACATATGTAACATCTATAAATTTTCCATTATATATTATTTAATCAAATATATAATCATTATTATTAAAATTATTTACTTTTAGGGCATCATGGTGTCGCAGTGGGTAGCATGATCACCTCACACCAAGAAGGTCGCTGGTTCGAGCCTCGTCTGGGTCAGTTGGCACTTCTGTGCTCCGGTTTCCCCCACTAGTTCAAAGACATGCGCTATAGGTGAATTGAATAAGCTAAATTGGCCGTAGTGTATGTGAATGCAAGTGTATGGGTGTTTCCCTGTGTTGGGTTGCAGCTGAAAGGGCATCCACTGCTTAAAACATATGCTGGTTAAGTTGGCGGTTCATTCCACTGTGGTGACCCCTGATGAATAAAAGGAGCCGAAAAGAAAATGAATGAATAAATAAATTATTTACTTTTCTGTTTCCTTGCAACAACGTGACTATAATTATTAGCAATGACTTACTATATGGTTACAGTTAGGATGAGGCTTAGGTTTAAGATCAGTTGCATGAAATTATGCATAATTTATTTTGTTAATATGCTATTTGTGTTCTTGTTACATGTACTTAGTGATTACAATTAATTATGCATTAATTACATGCAACTATCTTTAAACCTAAGCTGCATTCCATCCCTAATATAATAAGTACATATAATTAATTAATATTACTTATTAAACAACTAGTTACAATAAATAAAAATAAAGTGCCAAAATGGAGTGCATTCTCAATTAACCTCAAAATAAAGTTAATTTCTTATAGTATAGTACACAGAAGATGTGTAACAAGGACACCTAAAATTAAGTGTTACCTAAAAATGTATGTATATAATTGTTTTAACGCATACGTGATATTACTGAAGAATTAAGTGAATGTGACATGTCAGTGATATTTCTTTTTTGCTGCATAATTTTCATCCACCATATGGTTGTTATTTAAATCTTTGCTCTTTAATCTGTAGCCTGGGATTATCTGATTATTCCAGTTGTTCATACTTGGAGATGAGTAAAAAGTTGCTGATAATATGCAAACAGGCCATGAATGACATACAATGGAATCTTTATACCTGATCAAAGCTGTGTTGGCATAGTTTTCTTAAAGACGAGAGAATATTTTAAAGCAATGTTGCTGCAACCGTTGCTCTGAATGTACAATACACAGCTCACACAACCTTAAGGCGTTCCCTTCTAATCCTGCCATTCAGATCCATACATTTTCAATGATACCTAAAAAACCAAATGAATGTATCTGTTGCTGACAAGGAACAGGCCTTGCAGCCAGTTTTTCTACATTGGCACTGCAGGATCCATATTAGCCCAGAGAGAACTAGGTCATTTCTCCAATATTACACCCCAGTCAATTGGATGTCGTCGCGCAGCTTTATCGTTGCTTCACACGGCTGTCTCAGCTTGCCGTGGATCTGTCCACCGAGTTGCAAATAGCGCACGCATGGAAGAGGCTTTGGTGATGTATTTGAGAATTCCTAGCAGCATGAGTAACCGTGGGCTAAGAAGAGATGTTGGCGGCCGTCCAGAAGCAGAATTCTTCAGAGGCGCAGCACAAGTTTTTTTGCAAAGCTCTCTTATTTTGTTCATGCAGATAAATGTATATATACATGCAGTCCTGGAGCCATCCTGGGGGCCTACGAAAACACTGCATCGCTCGCTGAGTGTTTGAAGGTGTTCGCCGCAGTTCGGCTGGGGGAATGATTCATAATTAATGCAGCGCACTGCGCATTAGAGATCAAAGCCGTTTGTCTATGCTGTGCAATAAACCTAATGCAGCCGTGACTGGGCTCAGATGAGTGTACGTGGATGTGAGGGACACTATGGAGGGTGTTTTTTTCTCCTTCACACCCTCCAGGTGTCACACAGACTAACAGTCTCACCGTCGGGTAGTCCAACCAGTATTGGTAGTTTTTGTTCTGAGGAGACTTTCAAAAACACGACTTCTTAAACTCTCAGAAGGGCTTTTCGCATTTCAAAAAGTGAACCTTGGGTCATTCGAAACCACAAGTAAATGTTATGTTGGTTTATGTCACTATGATCTTGGACTATGAAAAACGCATGATAGCCCAGGGTTTACAATTAATCCTGGGTGTTTATTCTCGGACATTTCTACATTTCAAAAGAAAGACAATCCCAAAGAGAAAAAGTTATATTGGAGAGGAAAATGCATACAATCAGGCAAGAGTTTAAAGCCTCTCAATGCTGGAGATATGTTAGAGAGCGGGAAGGCCTGTAAATGCCCACAGAGATTGCAGTTCCTGCTTGACACACTGGTTTTGATGTTTCACAGAACCAAAAAATATAGTTGTTGTAATATTGTCTATGGGCGGTATGGTGGCACAATGGGTAGGGCTGGTGCCTCTCAGTAAGAAGGTCGCTAGTTCGAGTCCCGGCTGGGTCAGTTGGCATTTCTTTGTGGAGTTTGTATGTTCTCCCTCTGTTCACGTGGGTCTCCTCTAGGTGCTCTGGTTTCCCCCACAAGTCTAAAGACATGCGCTATAAGTGAATTAGGTAAGCTAATTGTCTGTAGTGTATGTTTTAATGTCCTGTTCCTTCAGGTTGGGGGTTGAGCGTTGGGCTAACGCCCCACCTCGTAACAAAATTATGCTACAAAACACCAACATGGTGCGGCTAAATATCAAATTCAATATAAACGGACCCGGGAGTAAGAGAAAGTAAGTAATATTGTCTATAGTAATTTTTGTAAGCTGTCTAATAGCTGTCTAATACATTTTTCTTCATCAAACTTAACTGATTTCTGTGAGAATCTTGGGTCTATGCAGGTTCCAATAGATGTTTTGCAGTTTTTGTGATGATTGAGATGCAGTTCAACAGATGATTCGTCAGAAAAAAAATCAACCTTCTGCTACTTTTTCAAGTGATCAAATAGAGTCAAGTTATTTTTGTTGCTCTTACAACTAGAATCCACAACAACACTTTTGTCCAACCCAGGCTCTTTCTGAAAACGTAGTCCCGTGGACATTTCTGGAGACCGCAGAACCCGACCTTCCGGGAGGTACGTATTTTTGCAGTTTTTCTTTTACCCAATCTGCAAGAGACCGCTGTGTGTGCTTTTCCGCATCTCAAATGCCTTTGCGAGTACTGCTCGTGCCTGCGCTGTTCTCGCGTGAACCCACCAGAGGCCGCTGTCAACCGTCTGACTGACTGGGCGACCGGCCAATCAACCGACCCACCCTTCTCCTTCCCTAAACCCAACCAATTTACCAATTGACCCGCCCACTCGCTTACTTCCCTAAACCTAACCGACAGTTTACAAAAGCCGTCCAGATAAAGAAAACCCCTCGTCTGATTTTTATCACATTTTCAGATTTTACAACATTCTCACCCTATTGTTCACCCGTTCATTTTATTTTTTGGATTCTGTTTTTGTCTTATCTGATTTTTAGAACCGTTCTTCTCCGAATTCAAAACCGGTTGTCACGGTCAACTCCACTTTGCATCTCGTGCACGATGAGCTAATGTGCACGATGAGCTAACTGGACAAACTGGTTGTGGTGGGAAAGCCCTCCATGTGGAGGTAAGCGGTCAGCCGGTGAGAGCCAAAGGAACAGTGTCATACATAGCGTTTGCTTAAAAAAATTAAATGCATTCATATGTACCTCCGGCTACATAATTCCCAGTCTTCAGAAACGTCCGCGGGACTATGTTTTCAGAATGAGTCTGTGTTGCCTTTGTTCAGGTAATGTATACGGCCTGTGTTGCTTTTTTGTGAGTTTGGGAATGGAAAAATGAAAGTTTAAGTGTAAATTTTAAATACTGTATCAATAGTGTCTTATAAAAGTAGATAAAAAAATACTTCACAACCACTCCCTAAAATTTTTATGTAATCCGAATGTACTACATTCTCTAAGTTGCCACTGTTGAAATTTTGTCAACCTTTTGAATCAAGGCTCAATTATTATGTCACATAATGTTTTTCACCTACTATTTGGAACAGAATATGCTACTTCAGATGCAGCCAGTGTTTCTCAGAAATTGCTCAGAAATCCCTTTCCAAGTTGTAATTAGTTCTACAAGAACATTAACTTTTTACATTCTTGTAATTACAGTAATCACATTATGGTGTAAGTGAACCTGTTGCTGACTGCTATCAAATTATTCTCCTTCATGATCATTTCAGAGTTTAAATGTTGTCTCTTCTTCCCTTCACGTTTCAACATTTCCTTTTTCATTTTAAAACACAGTGTTTCAGTGACTGTCCAAAGCATTGAAATATGAAGTAGATTATTGGCTCTGGATTGCTAAGCAACCAGCAGTAACATCCTAACATCACATTATTACACACTGTTCACATTTGGCACTATATTGTGGATTTAACAGTGTAAATGTGGTGCTAAAATCAGGTCTTGTTCAGAGACATGACCACACATAGCAAGGAACAATTTCACATTAACTTGCTATATG